CAATGGATACCAATAAAAAAGTTCTGGATATCCATCGGCATGAATTGTACATCCATCAGATCAACATGAATGCTCATCCAATGTATAATTAGTGACACCTTTTCTATCGATATCCATAATGTATCTAGTAGACTGAAAGAATGCATATGACATCGCCCAGACCAAATGACTGTTGTTTCCGGAATGTCATTGGTTGTCAAGTCGTGGACAGCTGAAAATCTGAAGGGTATCTCCCATACAGTAATGAATTTGCGCCTTCGAAGTGCCCACCTGATGTCAGGTGTATATATTTGATAATTTCATTTCATCATCTGAATAATCTGAGACCTATTGTTCCCAAAAGACGGATTGTGATAGTAAATATCCAAGATAGTGACGTATAGAGTTTCATGTCTGATTGTAAGATGTTTCGTGTTCAACGAGCAAAGAACTATTTGGACCAAATTATGAGAAAATATATTCAAACACATAGGGGGCGAGTTCGATTCATATTGTTCAAAACGTATACATGAAGAGGTCAATTCATTCACATTGTTGTACAATTGGTGAACTGTAGTTGTCCAATTCATATCTAGTAGTTTCAGAATTTTTGTCTGCGGCCTATGGATTTACAATGAATGTCAATTAGATAGAATCTGGACATTTTGAACCATCCAATATACCGGGTGGCTACGGTAGTATTGCCTACGGAATATCTCAGTTATTGTATGAAGTAGCTTTGTGAAATTTGAAGCTTCGATATAATGACATAAGAGCTAGAATTTGAGCATATTGACATGTCGACGTCAACTTCCGGTCTGACCGGAAGTAACATCAACTATCTTATTTTGAATGGAAACCCTATTTTTTTTTTTGCCTCAAATTCTAGCTCTTATGTCATTATATCGAGGCTCCAAATTTCACAAACCTACTTCATACAATAACTGAGATATTCCGTAGGCAATACTTTCGTAGCCACCCGGTATATCCATGTCCATGTATGTCTATTCAATGGACATCCATCGGATAGTTTCACTTAACTGAGCAAAATGATTGGGAAATTCCACCTGCAACCCTACCTGTGTTACCCCTTGAGTTGGCTCAAATTCTCAGCACAACGATTTCTTGTACTTCCATGACGTGTTAAGGAGTTGAAACTGAATGCAAACACACGGGGATAATGCCCCTTCGCGAACATTCTAACTTGGCGCGATTTAACCAAATATAAGTTTATGGTGGAGCGCCAATATTTCCGAGAACATTTTGCCCCTGTCTGAAGATGAACAAGTTTATCGAACCGATGGTTCATCAGATATCTTCAAATATGAGCTAAATATTATCTGCCCCTATTCGCGAAGAGGGGATCATTTTCTTAAAACTCATTATCACGTGACGAAAGTCATTGCGAAATGACAGCAGCACAAAAATCTGCGCCAAAGATTTGAACCAGATTGAGGGAATAGCATAATTTCGATTTCGCACAGGAAAGTGCCATTTTCCATTCATTTATCCTAGAATATAGGCTGTCAGAGGTGCCGTTTGATACAATACATGCGTTTGTGACATGTCATATCGTTATCCGATGACGGTAGAAATTTGCATATTGTTTTCCTTCTATTGTCAAAATGTCGCGCAACTTGACAAATACATATCAATACCAAACCATATTACATTAGTATTGAAGACTTGCATCATTATGAATAGTCAGACGCAATAATGTACTATTTATGTAATAAAAATATACCCTCAGTCTGGCAACATCGCTGGACGCACTAATGTATATACAGGACGCAATAAAGATCGTTGAATGAAGCCCAAATATATGGCTGGATGCAATAACATTCGTGAAATTGAATGACGCAATAAGGTACGCTGAATGAAAATAAATCGTATATCTTAAAAATAAAGATAGAGCAATTCTGAATAGAGGTAAATGCTGGAAATTATGTGAGGAGAGATATACTTCGACTAGTTTCTATCCAACCTTATTCTTTCTGGTGGACGCAATAAGTATGGATTATGAAAAGACGCAACAAAGATAGTAGGATGTATATATATATATATATATATATATAGGTATACATATAAAAGGTATTTCCAATATTTGACAGTCGTTGTTTTCTTCATTGTTTCAACAATGATTTTCCGCACTAAAAGAATTTTTGGTGTGGAAATAAAGTGTACACTTGCTTACAAGGGTCTAGACATACCGAAGGCTCTGTGAATCCGACGATGTCGGATCATCTTTGGATCAATCGCAGCTTTCTTCCGGAGGGCATTTTGTAGGTGTTTTATTATCGACTTTTATCCAAATTTTGTTTAAACATGCCTAATTTCTGTATGGTTGTGAATTGTGGTAGCAATAATGGACTCAAGAGACGATATTGGATTTTATAGGATACCATATAATAGTGCTTGAGAATCGTCACAAGAAAACAATTTTAGCCATGTTTCTATGAATGGAAATAACTGTCTATAGATCTTAATCTTGTTTCTTATCATTTACGATATATATGTATACTTCTCCTTGAGAAAAAAAATGAGGCACCATCAATTAGATACGAATTTGCATTTTCAGATCAACGGAAATAACTATATCGCTCACGTCCCTCGTACGGCCAACCAAATGAATCTGTAATTTGTTTTTCTCTTTGACGATATTTTACATCTCATCGAGAAAGAAAAAATTGCGCACATCAATTAGATACAAAGTTACATTTTTAGATCCACGGAAATAACTATCTCACGTCCCTCGTACGGCCAACCAAATACATCTGAACTTAGTTTTCTTCTCATAAACGATGTTATACATCTCGAGCAGGAAACAATTGACCGCATCAATTATATAGATACAAAGTTACATGCATTTTTAGATCCACGGAAAAACTATCTCACGTCCCTCGTATGGACAGTCAAATGAATCTGAACTTTGTTTTTCATTCGACAATATTATACATTTTCTTCAGGAAAAAAATTCAGCACATCAATTGGATACAAAGTTACATTTTTAGATCCACGGAAAAACTATCTCACGTCCCTCGTACGGCCAACCCAATGATTTTGAAAGAAGAAATTGAGCACATCAATTAGAGACAAAGTAAAATTTTTAGATCCACGGAAATAACTATATCTATCACGTCCCTCTTACGGCGAACTAACTAAATCTGAACTTTGTTTTTTCTTCATGACGATATTATACATTTCCATGAGATAGAAAAAATTGAGCACATTAATTAGATACAAAGTTGCATTTTTCGATCCACGGAAATAACTATCTCACGTCCCTAGTACAACCAAGCAAATAAATCCGAACTTTGTTTTTCTTCTTGATATACACGTCATCTCCTTGAGAATGAAAAAATTTATACAAAATTGCATTTTTCTATCCTCGGAAATAACTATCTTACATCCCTCGTACGGCCAACCAAATGAAACTGAACAATGTATTTTTTCTTAACGGCATTGTATTCCTTCTTGCTACATGAATACAGAAATAAATGATAGATTGTTTCAGTAGGATCGAAAGTAACACTTTGTTTGACAAGCGAATTTTGCATTTGCGAGGCGGAGCGTGTGTAGCGAAGCCAAGCGAAAGCAAAATTTGCGAGTCAAACAAAGTCACTGTTGATACGAATGAAACATGCTATTTTTTCTGCAACCAAAAGAATTAACTAAAATGAATATGTGGAGTAACCACCAATGTGACTTACTTGACAGATTATTATATTGGGGTACAATGACTTTTTTTTATCGCTTGGAGCGCACGAAATGAAATCCCTATAATGTTCAAAGAACATCGTGCGTTCCTAGGGAGGATAGGGACAGGAGGTATAGGTATTGAAATTTTTTTTGAACTTCTGGAGATTCTATGTTGTTGGGAATACTTTCAGGCAATTCAATATTATACCTAAAACGTGGATGCCGTGCCATATGTATGCAATGCAACAAATAATCCGTATGGTGAGTATATTCTATCTGCATTCACATTTACAAAGGTGTCAGCCCTAATAGCAAATACCGCTTGTGCCTGATATAGGAAAAAGAAGTGGAAAATGTTAGGTTAGTGAGCATATCAACAATAATGATAGCGATTATTTATTTCTCTCCATATTCCACTGTGTTTGGCTCGGTAATCAAATGAAGGTAAAGTATTGCTGGCCGTGATTATTCAAAAACAAGTTATCCAATCAATCAGATCCCGAGAGTGAATGAAATACAGATCAAGCAAGTGTGTGGGAATGTTCCCAAAAATATATAGACATGAGAAATAGGGGAAGAAAACCCAAATAACTCATATAATATGGGAATGTTTGTTCTCTGTCTGTTTTGCCGCATTGCTGGTCGTATTCCGTATGAATGCAAACGCAACCATCTCATATTAGGAGTATCTGTGTCGTGTTTCTGACATTCTGACTGACATGAAAATAGTCGTCCGGGGAACGTATATGGCCTTTGCGAGCAACTGCTTGTGGTGTGCACGGCACGCACTGAATCCCTTCTTCATATAACAATAATTCAAGCATCCGGATGCAATAGTGGTTGTGAATCCGTGCGGCATGCCGGCGACTTGGATTCGATCCCATGCAAGGGTCGACTTTTTCAAAAAATTTGTTCTCGAGTACTTTTTTTCAAGAAAAAGGTTCATGTATGTTGACTTGAGGTTGAGGTTAGGTTGCTTGGAAGAGGTAGCCTTATTTTGTACGCATAGAAACGACATTTTTCTTCCCCAAGAAAAAAGTTCATTTAGACCAAGATAGCTTCTAAAAAAGTAGTCTCATTTGATTTTTTATGAAGAAAATATGTTTTCTCTCCTTATATTAGACTCGATGTTTTGTACATAAAAATAACAACGGGAAAGGAAACGCTAGTCGCCTCTATAACGCGATGCAACATTCCCCCACACCACAGATTAATTTGACTGTGCCCACACACCTTGTATTACTTGCGTTCTCTCTGCAGACGCTAGTGGGAATGGGAATTTATATCAAAATTGGTTGGCAACACTGAATTAGAGGTTGAACATTATTTTCAAGGTATTTTCAGGTTATAGTTTATTGAAAATTGATAACATTTCAAATTTCAATTATTTCATAAATGATTAATGCAAAGCTACAAAATATTTCAACATACTCGAAGTCTATATCTCACGAAAATGGCTAAAAGTAGATTCGAATATGTTAGGGATTTTGAACTCGATGACCGACTCTTACCCAACAGTTGGATTGTGGTCCGCATTGATGGCAAGAATTTCCACAAATTTTCTACGAAACATAATTTCCAGAAGCCGAATGATTTAAGAGCATTAGAATTGATGAACAAGGCTGCTTCGACTGTTATGCTGGAGTTCAAAGATATTTCAATTTCATATGGACAAAGTGATGAATATTCCTTTGTCCTTCGTAAAGATACATCATTGTATAACAGAAGAAACAGTAAGATCATGACCTATATAAATAGCCTGTTTACATCATCATATGTGTTTTTCTGGAAAGAGTTTTTTGAAGATGTGAAACTGTCATATCCACCATCATTTGATTCAAGAATAGTCTTATATCCTACTGATCAAAATCTCAGAGATTACTTGAGTTGGAGGCAAGCTGATTGCCACATTAATAATTTATATAATACTACATTTTGGGCATTGGTAATCAGAGGTGGTTTGACAACTGCAGAAGCAGAAAAAAGATTATGTGGTACATTTTCTGCAGACAAGCATGAAATTTTGTTTAGTGAGTTCAATACAAACTATAACAATGAGCCAGACATTTACAAGAAAGGTACTGTTTTGTTACGAAAGAGAATAAAAGATCCAAAGCATGGAAAGAGAAGACAAGTTGTGCTGCCATTGCATGAAGATTTGATTCAAGACAGCTTTTGGGAAAAAAATCATGAAATATTATCAATTCAGACCAGTCAACACTTTGAATGGCCAGACACTGTACAGATGCCTGATTTAGTCTTGAAACAACTGAAATTAGATAATGGAAGTCATAATCAGAGGGAACCCTGTGTTACAGAAGATTGATAATACTTTCAGTTGATTGCTGATTATTCAAACTTTGAGGATTACAAGTATCAAGTACTTAACTAGAACTGACAATTCAAGAACCAATCAACATTTACTTATGCATGTTTGCCAATAAAGACATATTTTTTACCTAAAATTTCCTTTTGTTCTGTTACTAGATAGAGTAGAAGTTTATTGACAAAAGCTATAGTCACAGATTAACATTTGTTAATCTGTGCTAGTTATTTGTTATAATTACACAACTACCAATCATAATATTTCCACTAGCATATGAGATTCAGGTATTTTTACACAAATCATTTACCTAGATCAAAAATTACCTTTATATAGTGGCTAGGAATTTTGAAATTATGAGAATTCCCCACAACCTCCCTACAGAACTTCCCATGAAGTAGCTGACTTCTAATGTCAGTTTCTGGAACTTGAAAGCTGTCAAAGCAGTATGTTTTTTGTTCTCAATGGATCACAGATTTTTCACTTGTGCTCCATCAGAATCATATCAACTATTTCTAGGAGCATCGCCTATATGATTTCTCAACAAAAATGGGACCAAAATGAGAGGTACTTTTCGAATCTATAAGGACGGAAAGTGAAGGATTGAGACTGCTGACTTGAGGTCCTTGAGGACCAGATTTTAAATTAGGTTAGGTTGGTGAATAATGATTTGATCATAATAAAATATTAACAATCATCAATTGTTGATACTACCACAGTATATAGTACCTTTGTGCAGGTCAATATAAAAACAAGAAAATTTGAAAAACCAAACTTACTTATAAAAAAAGGATTCCTGTCTATTCTTTTCTCCCCAAAAATTGCATTTCGTTCTACTGGACTTGGTGTTGAAAAAGTTCAGTCTCAGTCTATGAAAAACAAACGAAAACACTAAAGAATTGTACAACTAAAAACGCATATTCGAATTTGAAACAGAATCAATCACATACGCGCTAAAACCAATTTAAAATTTTGAAATTCGTAGCCATATTGGTTCAACACGTTTCTTATTATTTTTTCCCTACGTCGGCATCAACGCCTATTGGTCGATTTCGTTATCTATAGAGACAGAAGTTGTTCCCTTGAGGACAGCTATGCCACAGTATATTATCCTTTCACGAGAAAGGATACTGTGGCTCAGACTGTGGCTATGCTTCATTTTTATATATGGCGCATCGCCTATACGATATCTTAACAAAAATGGGACCAACATGAGAGGTACTTTTTGAATCTATAAGATAAGGACGGAAAGTGAAGGATGGAAACAGCCATATTGGTTTGACAAGTTTCGTATTATTTTTTCCCTACGTCGGCATCAACGCCTATTGGTCGATTCCGTTACCTATAGAAACAGAAGTGTTCAAGTTATCGCCGTCAGATGGGGCGACATGTTATTTTTTTCATGGTTGGTAGAATCGATGAATTGTCATCAATTCTACCAACCTTGATATTCATCTATACAGGGTGTCCCATATGTCATGGATCAAAAGAAGTGGGGTGGTAGGGTCATTTGCAATCAATTTAAACGTATATATGGTTATCCAATTGTCATGTTTCAGAAGTTACTAAAATTTTCTGGAAATGGAAAACAATAACACCTATTGAAAAAAAAATATATAAAAGGTGCATGGCTCTATACCATCTCGCAATTTGAATGGATAAACTTCTTCTGATAGTTGGTCATCTTTGTGGAGTAGTTTTCAAAGCTGGTGGTGGCATTAAAAAATCAACAGGGTAAGTATTTCATTCAATAACACCTATTGAAAAAGGAAAACAACATTTTTCCTTATTTATACGAAGTAACACAAATCATAAAAATTATTTCTTGGGGAAGGTGCATCCATGCGGATCACACATGATTTTAAGGGAGAATTAAAAAATTAACAATAACTTCTGAAACTATATCAGCAATTGAACAATTGGATTTCACCACATATATACTGTTATGATCCATGACTTATGTATACCTATTGACCATTGATGAGACAAGCACGTGACGAGTAGTCTTGTGTAGTTCGCGAACGAACTATAATAGTTCGAAATGAAGTTCGAAAGAGCGCTCTCCCAAGGTGAACTACGCGAACTAGTTCGCTAGTTCACTTCAATAAGTGCGAACGTTGATCGACCGATCGATCCTCTCTCTCTCTGCCACTATAGTGCACTCAGCAAACACAATTATGTAAAATTAACATAAGTGTTACATAACAAACAATACGTGTTATGTAACTATATTTTATGTAATACTCTTACATCACTGTTATGGCGAAATGTCCGCCACAAATACTACATGATTATTACGTAGCAATTATGTCAGTATTTTATATATTTTTCATATAATCTCATTGCTATAAATAAGATGTTACGAATATAACAAACTGACATGAATATTACATAACATTCTCTAGATGTTATGTGAAATTTTTACATCCCTATTATGTGAAAATGTCAGCTACAAATATGACCCCATTTTAGTATATAATATTGATGAAACTACTTGACTAATATCCAAAATGAATATCAGAATTTCACAAATAACCTCTTCACCTCACCAATTCACTTCACAGGCATATGCACATATTGATAACTAAGTTATCATCTCAGTAGGTGATCTGAATTCTACACTCTATAATATCTCTACTGATATTACTGATGATGATATATGGTTATAGAAATGTGCATATGAGTTGGAAGTGGGCTAGTGTGAAAAATAAGTTATTTGGCAATTTTTGATTGTGTGGGAAAAATGTAACAGAGGCAGATTAGTCATAAAATGCTTGATGGTTTATTATGTCCTATTTCATTTAGTATTTACTTAAATTCTCCTCACATGGTACAAAAGAACTCTGCTCAAAGACTTTAAAGACTTTCTGTTCCAAATATTATGCATCATAGTACACAGTATAATTGATCAGTTTCTAACTTGAAAACAAAAAAATTGTGAATGAATTATAGACTGAAATAATGTTCAATCGAATAAACAAAAGATGATAAAAACAACATCAACTATCTAATGAAAAACATGACCTACAACTTTCTTTGGAAATGATAGCGGTACACTTTTTGATTGGTCAGACCTTTAATATCCCATATATAGTATTCGACGTTCTGGGGACGACCATGGTAGGTCCGATTTAAGTCTGAACGTCCGGGACCTTTTCAAGACGTACTGAAAACGTTCATTTCTAGACGTACTGGGTACGTACGATTCCGATGTACTGAGTACGTCCAACTCTGGACGTTATCGACTTTTTGTGGATGGGCCGGATTGAATGATTGAATAAATTGTATAATGATAATTGAAATCATTGCTTATAATTTCTACCCTCGATCTCTGATACCTATCTATTCACGTAGGAACCTGGCAAACATGAACATAATGCTATTCTCACAATTCATTTTTTGCTGGCCGTACCTAATCACAAAACATCTATTAAGATACTATTTGCCGTGATCATCTGAGTCTATGAAAGTATCAATGTGGAGTATACTGCTATATTAATAAGTGTTCTGTAGAGTAATCGGTAGAGCATCTGCCCGGTAATCTAAATGCCCTGGGATCGGTAGAAGCGCATTTTTGAAAATTTTTAATCAGAATAAGAGATCTTTTCTACTTTGTCTAGAATTATTTTTCAACTATCTGAGTATAAAAAGGCGAATTTACGTTGATTCAGGTATTCATGGTCCTGAATGGACGTACTGGGGATGTACAAATTCGCGGAATCTAGACGTCCCCAGTACGTACCTAGTACGTCTACGGTCCTAATCTGGACGTCCCCAGTACGTACGAAACGTCCGGACGTTCTCAGTACGTTTTGGGGACGTACTGGTGCTATATGGGCGGTGGCTCCACATCCAAATTTGTTCATATTATATCTGTCTACCTATGTGAAAAATTTGGTGCCCTTATCAAGCGTACAATACATTGGAATATTCTAGCTTAACTGCCGCACTATAGGTAGGTAATTGAGCTTTTGTCATAATAAATGGATACCTACATTTCAGATGCTAAATTTTTTGTGACTGGGAAATTTAAAATCTACAGACAAAAAAACTTTAGAAAATTGTGAAGAAGCTTCTGTTATCAAAAGCATATTACTCATTGGACGAATTCTACGCAGATAGAAAAGTTGACAATGGTCTGCATGTTTTTGTTTAACTTGAAAAATTCTGTTTTTATACTTACAATATGACTGTTCATATCTTATATTTACAAATTATATTTATTTACATTTATATTTTTAATTTTACAAATTGACTGTGTATATTTTATATTTATTTACTTTACCACATACGTACTTTCTCAATGGGAGTATATCTTCATACAATGAAGTATATTATTATCATTATCAATAACTGAGAGCATAAGAAACAAAATAAGAGAAGAACCGATTCTTGTAAACCATACTTCAAAAATAACAGATTACTCACTTCACCATGATGCATATGCATCCACAGCTTCATTTTTTTTTCATAAAAAAAATGAAGCTTCAATTACAACTAATGGTGAACAACACAGATATCCTACGAGAAATGGAAACCTACTGAAAATGATCAAGCACAAAACGAAACTTTTCGAAAAGTCACCCATTTATATAGGGTCAAAGTTCTTCAATTGTCTGGACCCTGGATTCAATATATTTCTAGTTTTATATATTTGTATGTATATTTTTATTTCAGTTTAGTAATAATTGTCTGTACTCATCTGTTATACATACTGTTTTGTAATATTCATAATTACCTGTGGACAGGTTTATCGATCCTGTCCACAGGTAATTAATCCTCCAAGTTGGGAAAGTAGGATATATGAAAGTTAAGCAAGCCAACGTTGGTTTAGTTCATTGTACCAGTATATCACCTGACGAAGCTACTGTGTTTGCGAAACATGTTGTGTGTATAAGAATTTTGTGGAAATCTTATCGTTTGTGAAGGTTTTGAATTTATATCAATTGAAACAAAATGAGAACATGAAACTGAATTATATTTAACATTATTATGTGATGAAGTCGTTGTCAGTTGGCGGCGCATTTTTTGACGCCCCTGCTTATTTCAACCCATGCCTCTACGATGATTTAATCAAACTACCATTACCATGATTGTGAAGGGGCCGTCTTCAGGTGGATGCCATCCTATATGTTGCCAATCCTGATCTACCGATTTGGGGTGGAGGCTCTCACTTTCCAATAATATGCATATGTCGAAATATCTTCGGTCGAACTAATATTTTGATGACACGAGCGGGAAGAAAAAAATGTATATTCCTAACTAAAGATATTATTGAGTATACAGTGTGTCCATTTAGTGCGTAATTCTTCGATATCTCGAAATCCATTATCACTAGAGAAAAACTTTTGAAAACAAATTTCTTTCGTTATTAAAGGTTCCATTTCAAGAATATTTTCAACAATACTGGGTGTTTTATAAAAGCGGAAGGATCTTTCATCACACAGGTGGACATGACATAAACAGGGTGTTCCAGATTAAAATGTACATGCGATACCTGTAGAAAGAGGACACTGGTGGTTCCAAATCACCATCTATCGATCTGTCTACCACCTTTTATAACTGACATACAGAACCAATTTGTATAATCAACTCATTCCATACTTGGTAGGTATATTTTACTTATATTAGGAATCAAAACTAAGAAGAGATGAAATTTGATTCCAAGTCCGTCTTCAGGAAAAACTGACAACTTCTTTTTCATGAACAACACTATGCATAGGAGAATTTTGTTGATCTGTTTTGATATCCGGAAAGAGCAGAGAATAATGATTGAAATGACCGAAGTCCTGCAGCCAGTAAATTTCAATATACATGGTATATCAATAATTTCATTTGCATAAAAATGTGAATTAAAAAAAAAGAATTCAAATTTATAAATCTTTAGTCCAACTGATCTTCACTACATGATGTGAGTATTTCTTGTATTGTTCTTTCTGGGAATTTGAAACGTGATCTCATATCTTCTCTTAGAATCGAGTGGGGTATTAAAAGCTCCATGTTGCTGGTCTTGAGGGCGAATTTTTGGGATAACTTCCTCAGCCGTTCTTGTATTGGTTCTTTTTTAGTTTTGTGGTACAAATATTGATTAGATGGGTTGTGTAGATATTTGCCAGGGTGTCTCATTCTAGTTATTGTTCTTAGGGATGACGTTTCTGCAGTTTTTAAATTCTGCATGGTAGGATTTCTGCAGTTTAGATATATCCTATGTTGGTAGTCCAACAAAGGTTTGCATATGGATTTATATATCTTTGCTGCTGCTCCGATGTTGATGCCATTTTGTTTGTATATAAGACTTCTGAAATATTTTGCTCTCGATGATATTTTTTGTTAACAGATTTTGGAGTGATACTTGAAACTCAGCTTATTGTCCAGATGGACTCCAAGGTACTTCACAGTGTTGGTGGGGTTGATCTCATGATTGGCTATCGTCACCGTTGGGGAATTATCATTTATTACATGATTAAATAGCATTAGCTGACATTTCTGAGGATTTACTTTAAGTCTCCAATCATTCAGCCAATTCACGGCATTGACTATGTGGGTTTGTAAAAGTGCTGTTGGGCTTTCTAATTTTCTATTATGTGATATTAGGGCGGTGTCATCGGCGTATTGTATGGTGTAACATTTGGTGGGGTGCTCTTGTTGTTGGGGAAAATCATAGCAGTAAATGTTGTACAGCATCGGTGATACTTAGCTCAATTTCAAGGAAATATATAGATAAACCATCACTAGATTTTGTACATTTGATAGAATAACTTGTCAATTATCTTAAATATTTTTGAGAACCCACTGCATTTTTCACTATTCATTAGACAAATCATAATCAGTGTGATATTGAAAGGTTATTGTGTTAAGCCATAATTACCACCAACAATTTACTTGGCGTTACCAATAATATCACACTAGTGGTAGAATTTTTCGCAAAGCATTTACTACACAGGTGATTATTGAATTGTGAAAATTGCAGTGGGTGCTCAAAAATATTCAAGATAAATTGGCGAGTTATTCTATCAAATCTACAAATCTATTGATGGTTTACATATAATGTCAAATCGGATGCGCGCTCGTGAAAAGGAAGTCAATTTATTCGTTATTACTCACACTCTAAAAATTCTGATATAAACCGTGTTATTTTAGTCTGTTTTTCCTGAAGACGAAACTGGATTCAAATTTAAATTTCTTTTTAAAATGTAAAAATTCCACAAACGATAAGATTTCCACAATATTTTGTGGAAATCTTATCGTTTATGAAGTTTTTACATTTGCCATGGATTTCACTCAAGTAACGGCCGAGTCAATTCAAAATTTCTCTTTAGTTTTGGTGAGTAATATAAGTAAAATAAACTTACCAAATATGAAATGAATTGATTATACAAAGTGGTTCAATAAGCTATGACCAGATAAAAATTTCACCATAACAACATAACATTCTGTATGTCAGTTATTAAAGATGGTAGACACATCGATAGGGGGTGATTTAAAACCACCAGTGCCTCTATCTACATGTATCGTGTGTACATTTTAATTTGAAACACCCTGTTAATGTCATGGCCAACTTTGTGATGAAAGATGAACTCTAAAGATTCAGCTAGTCTATTGCGCATTTTTGAATAAACAACTCATATAAACGGAAAAAAAGTCCAAATAATACAACTAAGATCATCTCAAATACAACTGAAAACTGCCAGTGAATTTTTTGCTGACATGTCAACAGTTGTTCGTAAAACATCGTACATTCCTGTGGAAGAAAATAAGGTAGGTAGGAAATACTTTCCCAGACACAGAATTTATAAAATTTGCCGTTTCATATATCAACGAGTGGTACGACAAATATCTTTACTTTTTCTTTCATTTGAGGTAGGCACGGAACTCTAAAATTTTGTTTTGTATAGAGGTAAGTTCAGTAATATTCAAATATTTTCACCTTATATTTTTATTATGAGAGTTACTCAAAACAATGTATTTTTCACATAAGAACACTGTTAATCAACGTATTCCATCAAGGGGTTTTTATGACTTCAACTAAACAAACGCAATTCTCCTAACAATCCATTCAAAGAATCAACTTTGAATTAGACATGAACAACAACAAAATGAAATGTATCTACATACAAAAGACATGTCAAAAATGTTCACCCCTCAAAGGGAATTTTTGTCCATGAAATAATCAGTTATTCTTATAAAATACTAAAACCTCAACAAGAATAGGAAAGTCAACAAAAAATATATAAATTATCGTTTTAAAAAAATTAGGATAACCCGCTAATCATTCTATATTTTTCTCAGATTCGTTTGAGTTATCAGTTTCATTTTCAACATTACCATCTTCTTGGGAGGATACATTGGTGGCATTTTGTGGATCCAAAGATCGCCTGAGGTTTTCAACGAAGCTAGGGTCAGCAGATTGCATTCTGGTTGCCAATGTCTGACCTCTGAAACAAAAAAATCCACCTAACAATAAAGATAGAAGGAAATTGACTATCCCTACGACCACTTGAGAAACTTACACTTAGCACAATGGTATAATCCTTCAGACTAATTCAAATTACTATAGTGTTGATTTAACCTAACTGAATTCATAAAAAAAAAAATCGCTACATAATCCTTCTCAATTTTCTCATCCATTTCACGTTTGAAATGGCCGGCACAAGATCATCTACTCATTTCAATTCAATTTCTGATCTGTTACGTGTGCCATAACCTCTGAATACATCAATATTTATTTGTACTTACCGATAGGAAATTGATTGTTACTTGTTCCTTATTTCTAGTATACTTTTTTACTTGTGTTTTTCATTCTTGATTTCATTTTCTCATACCTATGGACCATAAGGGTGCCTTCCAGTTGTGGCAAGTGACTTTCGATTTATAATTTGAGCTATAAATTTTGAATTTCATACCTCTCGAATTAACAGTGCTACTCCTAAGGTGGCGTATAGAGTTAGTAACGAAGCCTGGACAGAACACATAATTATTGTTTGACGGACCTCTCGTATGGTAAATATAGCCAATAGGGAAAAACACAAATGCGTGAATCCAATTTAAATGTGCATATAACTGAAATATAGTAGTAACATGACATGGATGCATCAATTTTTTGATAAAATATGCTGAAATACTTCAAAAACACCATTTGAGTACCCTACAATTTCATGGAACGTTCAAACATAGCGTTCGGCCGCAAATTGGTCTATCTAGTACTGACGTCATAATCGCCTCTTTCTTGTGATGCCAGCCATTTTATTTTGAGGAAATACCAAATGTTCATTTCTCAATTTTCTAATTGATCCAACTGTGAACTGTCGAGATGATTTGATATTCAATGATATAGTAAATTTCACGAATTATAATTATAGGCTTTATCCCCATTGTAAGATATAAAAACTGTACATCAACAACCCAGTAGCTTCATCAGGTGAAATACTGGTACAATGAACCAAACCAACCTTGGCTTGCCTAACTTTTATATATCCTACTTTCCCATCCTGAAGGATTAGAATTACCTGTGGAGAGGTTCGATGAACCTTCATTTTCGGAAAATAGGCACAATATCTACATTAAAATACGGTGTACCAGATTAACTTGAAAGGGTTGATAGCAAATACATATACATACAGAGTGGAAATTTGAAAACTTTCAATGCGAATATCTCGCGAAATAAAAAAGTGAGAAAAACGCCGTTTGGCAAAAATGCTGAAGAGTTAGGGGGAACTAGAACCACCATATTTCAGTGAAGGGATGAGTCACCCCGTCGGCGCGACACACCCCAACTTTAAAATGTCAAATGGCACTACCTCTTTTGTGATACCTCAAATGAACGGTCTCAGTCAGTAGAATTCACCTGTACAAGACTTTTTTTTCACCCTCTACAGGTTTCATTCGATCAGATGTTCAAAATGCATTCCATTCTGTTGTAAGCGATAGTAGTATCGATGTTTAAATGCCATTCTAATATTTTGGAATACATCTCTTGAAATAGATCTGCATTCTGCATTTTATTTGACTTTATGTGTTTCGCACACCCTGAAGTGGGTGGAAAAAAAGTCTTGTACAGGTGAATACCACTGACTGAGACCGTTCATTTATGGTGGTTTAAGTTCCCCCTAACTCTTCAGCATCTGTGCCAAACGGCGTATTTCTAACTTTTTTATTTCGCGAGATATTCGCATTGAAAGTTTTTAAATTTGCACCCTGTATATACCCTTTCAAGTTAATCCGGTACACCGTATTTCAATGTAGATATTTTGCCTGTTTTCCTAAAATGAAGGTTTATCGAACCTGTCCACAGGTAATTCTAACCCTTCAGGTTGGGAAAGTAGGATATATAAAAGTTAGGCAAGCCAAGGTTGGCTTGGTTCATTGTACCAGTATTCCACCTGTTAAAGCTACTGTGTTAGCGAAACATGTCGCGTGATTGAGAATTTTGTGGAAAAAAAAATTATCCCCATTGCCAATTCAACGAGTTCCTAACATGATTACTAATCGAGAGTATCGACAAAATTTGTTCTAATCCTCAATTTTACGATTACACTGAGGTTTACACAATCTAACTCAATAATTTTTGTATAATTGCAATTTTAGTAAATCTCAAATACTGATGATAGTCCAGTCATTATATCCAAATAACGGACCTTACCCGTGAATAATTTTTTAGTGTTTTTTTTTCTCATAGATGTCTCGGGGGGGTCACTGGGAGTGTAAATTCAAAATGGCGACCAAATCAAGCTTTTGCGTATGTTCGAAAACTGAATTTTCTGATAAAAAACGGTTTTTCTTGAATAACTCGGCCATTTTTGATTCTACAGAAAAAGTTTGGGGACAAAAATTGTAGTAAATTTAGTTCTCTACAAGTTTTATTTCAACAATTTTTCTGATAGGATCGATATTTTGTAAATTAAACCTGAAAAAAGCGACAAATTCGAAATATTTTTATTTTCAACTTTACGGCATAAATGAACAAAAACAAACTTGTAGAGAATCAAATTTTGGACAAATTTTGTCCCCACCTGTTTTTCCGAAAAGCGATATTTTCGGAAATAAACCTAAAAAAAAACGACTCATTCGAAATATCATCATTATCTTGTTTATTCTCAACTTTATACCATAAATGAGAAAGAACAAACTCGTAGAGAATCAAATTTTGGACAAATTTGGTCTTTACCTGTTTTTCCGAAAATTGATATTTTCGGAATTTAACCAGAAAATATGTACCCATTCAGAAATATTCGCAATATCTCCTCTTTTTCAATTCCGCAGGTGCAACGAATAGGGCGAAAGTTGTATACAATAAAATGAAAATGATAATGAACATATTTCGAATTTGTCGCTTTTTTCAGGTTTAATTTACAAAACATCGATCCTATCAGAAAAATTGTGAGGACCAAACTTGTAGAGAACCAAATTTACTACAATTTTTGTCCCCAAACTTTTTCTGTAGAATCAAAAATGGCCGAGTTATTCAAGAAAAACCATTTTTTAACAAAAAAAACAGTTTTCGAATATACGCAAAAGCTTGATTTGGTCGCCATTTTGAATTTACACTCCCAGTGACCCCCCCGAAGCACCTATGAAAAAAAAACCACTAAAAAATTATTCACGGGTCAAAGTCTATAATGACTGGACTATGACATCGCTCTAATATCTATGTCAAAATGTCACAATACAGTTTATAAGAAAACAAGAACGAGTTTTGACTTCATTCATTATTGACATTGTTGAAATCGGTTAAATCTGTGATGAATGTTAAAATATCCAAACATGTTAAAAAATCGGCTGAATAGGTATTATCGATTTTTCTCGTCAACCAATAGACGGTCGGCGCGTTGTAGTACTTCGTGACGTCAGTACCGCTGACGATTACCCGTCCTGTTCTAACGGGAGATTTTTTTTAAAAGTTATTTTGGGAAATCCAGAAGGAATATAAAATTTTGAATAAAAAATTATCTGTATCATTTCTCATCGTCATGAACATCATAATGTTTTTTCTAGAAATTAGTGTTCTTGCCTATTGGTGTACACAAGCAAACATACCAAAAAAGTACATGTATAGGGTAGGGTGATTGTTTATATTTAACTCAATAGCTATCTCAGTTAATATTGATCTTACAGAAAAGTTCAAATAGGCAAAAATGAAGTATTTTTTATGGACATTCAAAATCTATTACTTTAAAATGCGAAGATGCATTGTGAACCTGAAAATTGTACATGAACTGGTGTTTTTTTCAATGGAACACCTTGTTTTTTATGGACATTCAAAAACTATTACTGGAAAATGCAAAACAGCATCGTAAACCTAAAAATTGTACATGAACTTGTGTTTTTTTAATGGAACACCCTGTATTTAATTTTCCTAATCGATAGAGCTCTTTATTCTGATTTCAAATATATATAGTTCATTGAGGTTATCTTTGTTAGTTTTCGAAAAATATCTACTACTAGCCACTCATGTTTGTATCTGAAATTATGAAGCGAGCGTGGGCGAGATGTAAGCTGAATGAATTACTTTTCAAAACTATCCATTTCTGTGAAAACGATTTTCATTTTCATTTTCAATTTGCCACATTCATAAGTACAAATCAGATATACAGGGTGATCTACGATTGAGTTGACGTCCGCGGCTATTTTTTCGAATAGAACACCCTATAAATTATTCAATATTTGAAAATCTGAAATCGAAAATATATTACACATAGGGTTTGTATACAGTGTGTCCGTTGAATTGAGTGCTCTATCGTAAAGTAGTGAATAAATTCATTTATAGCCATACTATTCCTTTCTGACGAATCTCCTGAAACAGGTCGATTTTCATTTATAAGGAAAATTTTATTATACTTACAGAGTGATTCACGTTCGAGATACGACGTCCGCGACAATTTTTCCAAAGGAACACCCTAAACATTATTCGATTTTTGGAATTTCTATGGAAAGATGGATTTGAAAATATATTACACATAGAGTTTGTATACAGTAGGTTCGTTGAATTGATCGCTTTTGTGGATATATTCGTTGAAAATTGAAGGAACATTTTTTTGAGAGGACGCTCGAAGCCGTATAACTTTATTTCCATTCGAGGTTCCCTTCAAAATCAATAAATACATACAGAATGAATCGTGAAGAAGAAATTACATCATAGGTATTTATTTAATGTCTGTCCCATTTTACGAGAGCACTGAATTTAACGGACGCCCTGTATACAAACCCCATGTGTGATATAGTTTTGAATCCAGCTTCTCATAGAGATAAAAAAATGATATATAGGGTGTTCCGTTTAAAAAATGTGTCGCGAACGTCATAATTCAAACGTGTATCATCCTGTATGTTTTGATTTTTTGATTTCTCCTTATAAATGTGTCAAATTAAATATAAAAGTCCCTCCTGCTCAAGAAGATTTCTCAGAAATGGATAATATGGATGTAAATGAATTTATCCATTA